AGCGAATTGTATTTTTATCAAATGCATAATTAGATATTTGAACCTAATACTTTATTTTCTTTAAAAAGACGGCAAATAAATATTTTGAAATTAGCAAGTTGCCATACAGTTGAAAACAAGTTGCCATACAGTAAATTTGTCAACATGAGCAAGTTGCCGTACCCTAGACTTTATTTGTTATGGTCTATTTTCTTTAAAAACGTTCATTTTGACAACAAATTTCAGTAAATATGATTCCACACTATAATAATCTAAAAAAGTGTCTGGAAAAATAATGAAAAACAGTAGAATATCTTGACAATGGGGCGACAGAGGACGATCGACCTCGAAATTTTCAGGTACTAAGTGGCAAGTTCTTGAGTATAACACAAAATCTTGTCTTAATTTTGTACTTATCGGCCTAATAATTTAAAGAATTATATATCAGAAAATCATTTCTTAAGCGGCACTCTCGTCAAATCAGTAGAAATGCTTTAAATTGAATGAATTCTTACCTTGTTTACTTTTTTTTTCAATTTCTCTCCGCTTCGTTAGTACCCAATTTCCGGTGGCGATGATACACAGTGAACAATGTCTATACAAATTTGCAGACAGAACTGTGACGTCGCTGATGTCACGTGACTTCATAGAAAATCATCATTTCACATTTACGAAGTGTTCTTCATAACTATATGTTCAAGTTTAATGAAGTAACATTTTTATGAAATTTTATACATTTTGTCATTGCAAAATGCTGTTTTTGAAAAGATTCGTTTTTCAAATATAGATCTTTGAACTTTGAGGTATTTTGTTAGTAAATTTCGAGTGGCCGCCATCTTGTTCGATATGTAACCCCTTTTGTACGACTGGAGTATTCTTCGAAACGGTATGCCTCAGTTTAATAATTTAACATTCTTTTAAAATCTTATATTTTTTGTCATGGTAAATGGTTATTAATCAGATGTTATATTAACACATATTAAATTACAATGTACTTTGAAATACCCAAATAACTACTAGCTTCATATATTAGAGATACGAAACAAAGTTTATTGTTGGGTGGTAGCTTTACACGGGCGGCTTAGTTATTAATTAAAATCAATAGGGACGAGTTCCGTTAGTATAGAAAGTCCCTGATGTAGCATATGATTTCATTAAAAACTTAATGATGCGTGTGTAGCCTATTGTTTTATTATAACAATATAAAAAGTGTCTTATTACTGAGTCACATGAGACTCAGTCTAATTAGTTATACGGGGCACGTCACAATGGGATAAATCTGTCAAGGGATTCTCATTGGTAAATATTAGCTTATTCCGGAAGAACATGTGATGAAGTAAAGGCCTTCTTACCATCTGATTGGTAATTATTGATCTGCATCTATTATATGTGAGCGTATCCGTAAGTGAGGCCGGAGAAGAATCATTATAGTATGTCATAAAAATGAAAGTGAAGCATTCATTCATGTTGATAATGAAGTGTTGAATCAATATTTAAATGACGCAAGGTCAAGCAAAAAAGTGATTCAAATTTATTGAGTTTTGTGTTGTCTTTAATTTTTAACTGTGTTTGCAGGACTCAGATATGAATATTATTTTAACTTTCGTATTCATAACCATAATAACTAATGTTTTAGTGTATTTCAAATCAGTTTCTGAGTTACAAATCATCAATACATCCGATATGGTGACGGACCATTATCAGACAGAGAAAAGGTAGGATTTCTGTTTATTTATTTGTTATTTTTGTGATATTGAAGAATATACATACACATATAACTGTTTTCGATTGTGAGATGTAATATTTTCTACAACCTTTCTAAATTAATGGATAAATAAGTAAAAAGGAACATCAAAATGATGAATTGAGTGAACCTTGCCTCGAATATGTTTAATTTCTGTTTTATTGTGCACATTGTACGGAAAGAAATATATTAACACGGAGATCGCAAGACAAGTCAATTTGAGCACCTCAATATTTGTGTATTTCTGTGCATGAAACGAAAGAAATGGGTCATGTCAAAATTGAAGGACCCTGTTTTGTCAATGTGTACGACCCGGTTTCGTCCTAAATTTCACAAAGCAGGACCCGGTTTTGTCATAGAAAATAATGCATAATCGGAAGACGTGAATTAAAATCCGGCGTTCAACAGGTGTTTGATAGCTAGTTTGAAATGATTTCTTTCAGAGTTTGAATTATTATTTATTTGAATCAGTAAACACTTTAATTCCTGCATAAATGGAACAAAATTAAGTTTCTTTTTTGCTTTTTATAAAAACGTTCACTTTGACGACGCAATACAAAAAAATGAAGGTTTTATAACTCAAATTGAGTTTTTTTTAATGAATGATGTAAATTTCAGTGTTTAAACTTGGATAGTGGAATACCTGTGAAATTGAAGGACGCAAATTTTATAAAAGAAAGGAGAAAACAACTTTGAGTGCTAATCGCGCATTAGCTATACAGACTCTGTATTTGTATCAGTTAAGCCTTTTTCAACTGATTTTTATCGTTTGTTCTTATGTTGTGCTGTTATACTACTTTTCTTTCTTTTTTTTGGGGGGGGGGGGGGTCGATAACACGTTCAATTCCGCCAATCTGTATCTGCCAGTCCCGAATTCAGGAGCCTGTAATTCAGTGGTTGTCTTTTGCTGCTTATATCATATTTATTCTTCGTTTTTGTTTTTTATTTTGTACATAAATCAGGTCGTTAGTTTTCTCGTTTGAATTTTTTTTTACATTTTGCATGTGTTGTGCCGGCAAAACAAAATGGTTCCTAATTTTGTCCCTTTATGCTCCATGAATAGGTTAAAATGGTCTCAAAGGTTATATTGTTAATATTTATTGTTGTTAAGATATTTTGTTATTCACACCCCTGCTAAATCCCATCTGGTTCCATTGTTATATCCGTTTGTTTACATCCAATGTTAAAGTACATTTCTGGAATGTCACCGGAAATAGATTTATGCAGATTTGTTTACATGTTGACGGTGACCCATAAATTAGTAGTTTACGCTTGTTGTGTAACAATTATCACTTGAGGTTGTAGAAATCATATGATTGTGTACTTCTATATTGTTTAAAAACTTATTTATATATGTATTAGTTCTCATATTGTAGTTTCAGTCTACTTTCACTTTTCACATACAGTTCAGAATGTCCATTTCGTTAGGTCACGAATCCACTTCAATTGTGAATTTTGCTTACATTATACTCTGTCACTAGTATATCCTGCATTCCTAGCTTAATAATATATTTATTTATCCATCTAGATAGGTGTTGATCCTTTGTGAAGTATGAATAATTAGGACTTATACTGTGCATTAGTCCCCGGAGCATACGTAGAACCACCATCTTTGCGCAAATCTGCACGTTTGCCCGGAGATCGCAAATAGAATTATTTGATTGGTTAATATTATTCTATATATAAAGCGACGTCAGCGTACTCGTGACGTCATTCTTCTCAGTTCACTTTCACTTGAGACACGTTCATTTTTTTAACAGTCGCTTAGATTTTTAACTTAATTGTTTCTTATAATGTCGCAGCAACAAATTCGTTCGGAAATAACTATGGTACGTTATCGTGATAGTTTAATTTAAATATGCCTTTTTAGGTAATTTAATGTGTGTTTCCACTAGAGAAACCATTCTTTAACTTTATTTGCACCGAGAGTCGAGATAAATTGCACCGGGTGCATTAAAATTCAGTCAATAGCTTCCGTAAATTATTCATCTTTTAGAGAAAAGTTGTGATTATAAATTACGTTTTATATTTAGATGATGTTACCAATCAACTGATTCGTTAAATATATTTAATCCATTTATAGTTGTAGTCAAATTTAGCGGTGCATCCAAGTTTGGATTTTGCGCACCACATCTACTTCGGTGTCTCTGCACCGTATAAGGCAAAATTTATATACATTGCTGAGGCAATGTACCCTGATTGGAAATGACCATTTATTGCTAAATTATAAACCGTGGTGCAACAGCACCTCACTTATACCGTAACGTCACCTGAACCTTAGGTGAAATTAAACATCAGGTGCAACTGTGCCTCACCAGATATATTTCAAGTTAACTATGATCGATAAATCTTATACCTTTTTAAGTTCTATGTATCCTCTTGGGGCTCCTTTTGTGTATCATATGATGTCATAAGTTTATAGTGAAATTTATTACTATTGTCAAAACTGCATAGTTTCATGTTGTGCCTTAATACAGAAATAAACAGGGCGTGAACTTTTAATAGTTTTATGTCTCTGTAAAGCCAAAACAGTTATAGTTATAGTAACAGATGGAACCCTTTTGGAAGTATATACACATTAGTATGTCGTCATCTCATCAGTGGTCATTGCGTTGACATCGATACACGCTGTGGTGGCGACGCAACATATTTAGCATCCACGGTGGGATGTATAACTAACTGAGTTATCTCCCATTTAATATATTTATTTTTTAACCCACTGTTTTGACTGTTGTGATTAAATCTTTATCAACTTGTTACTATTGGAATTGATAAATTTTTGGATGATTCAGTAATTATTTTTAAAAACAGAATCTCAGACTCTTTGATTGAATTTGACCAAGATATTAGCAGTCCATCTAATTTAATGGACATGCATGTAGTTGATGTAGTAACTTATAATACCCCTTCTGCAAGTGCTTCTACACCAAACTATAATAATGTAGAGAGACGTATGCAAAATAAATTTGATGACTTTCTTCATCAAATAGACCAAATGTTTAAAAAAACAAAAGAAGAAATGCAGTACATGACCAAAAGGCCATGGATAAAGTTGACCAAGGTATTGCAGCTTTACGTGCCCAGGTCACCATGCCTAATGTTCAAAGTTTGGGGTCAGGTGATCATTAAACTCATGTTACCAGGAATGCGTTGGTTGATTTTGACCAACCGATAAATGATTGCAATGGCAGTACATTTCACCCACACATGCAAGGTGAACGTACATCTCATTATTCAGAGAAGGCAAATAGCTTTAATAATATGTTTTCCACCCAAAATGTTTTATTTAATATTAACAATGACAATTTAGCAACTGCTAACAGATGGTTTGGTCCATCAACCCTGGCCCCCGGTGTATCTAGTTTGGTAGTGGGTAGGCCTAATTCAGTTGTGCGTACTCCACATCAGAACCAAACGTCCAATTCTAATGGTGCTATTAAAATGAACCACAATATTATGATGGTACAAAAGATCTAGATGATTATCTGTAAAATTGAGAATGGAAATGGGGAATATGTCAAAGCAGACAACAGCCGAAGGCCTCTCAATTTGAGATTTTGGCAGAGTTGAACTCCTGGAATTATGTAACTAAATCCTTGTACTTAGCTGGTAGCCTTAAAGGTGATGCCAGAACCTTATTAACTGAACTGTCCCCAATGGAAAGGAAAGATTATCAAAGCTTGGTCATGATCCTTAATTTAAGGTTTGGATCAATGAACCGAGCTGAGATTTTCAGAGCCAATTTGCAGACACGTGTCAAGCGTAAAGAAGAATCAATCTCTGAACTGGCTCAATCCATAAAAAGCTCACACGGCAAGCTTATCCAAAAGCACCTCCAACTTTTTTTATTTTGGCAAGGGATCACTTTACAGATGCTTTACCGGAGTCAGATATGAGGCTCAGAATAAGAGAAGCTCAGAGCAAAGATATTGCTGAAGCTGAAATTTTGGCACTACAGCTTGTGGCCTATAGGGTCGGGGACAAACAGAAGACCAATCGGTATCGTGGTAATCCAATCAATGCAGTGGCTTCAAATGAGTCAGATTGTCTTGATGATTCTGAGTCGTTTACAAAGACTTTCATACATGGTTTCCGCCAGGAAATGAAGTCTTTGACTAATGATATCAAGCAGGTTGTCAAATCAGCCCAGAATACTCAACCTGGAAAAACAAATGACAATTTTAATAATAATAAAAAAATGGTCAAATAATTACCAAAATAAGGGTAATTATCAAAATAGAAACATTTATAATGGCTCTTGAAATAATAGGAACCATAATTATAATGGTCATAACAATAATAATAGTAGGAATCAAAATGGTCGCAATGACCAAAATGGCAATACCGCTCAGAATTATGGGCAGGGAAACCGGGACTTGTCGAACACGGGGGCCGGTGTGAGACAAATGAGTCAGGGCCCAGGATAGTTGCACTTAATGTGTCGGAGATGAGGGTTTATTTGTTTCAACTAAAATACAGGACTTCCCTGTAAATATGTTAGTTGACACAGGTGCAAGTGTCACTGTACTTAACAGAGAGATTTAGGAGAAGCTCCCCCTCTCATCTCAGAACTTAGTTACCCCAGTTAATTTAAATTTAGTAACTTCTACTGGAGAAACTTCCGCATTTATTGGAAAATTTAATATGGAAATAAAAATTGGTAGAAATATCATAACTCATGAAGTTTTGATTGCTGATATACAAAATGATGGAATTTTAGGGGTAGATTTTCTTACCCCAAATAACTGTGCTGCTTTGTTAAGTAAAAGTTGTTTACCTATAAATGGTGACAAGATCCCATATAACCATTTTAATAAAAATATGGAACCTACTATTTGTAGGATTGTTGAAACTCAGGATGTTGTTGTACCTCCTGAAGCTGAAGTTATTGTCCCTGGAAAGATTGTTGATTCTGTTGTGAATATTGAAACTGGCATAGTTAGTGCAGTGTCAAAATTTGTTAACAAGACAGGTCTCTTAATGGCTAATTGCTTGGTTAAACCTGAAAATGGAGCTATTCCCCTTAGACTAATGAATTTAACAAATAAAACTTGTAAAGTCAAGAAAGATACCATAACGGCTAAAATGGAGAATATTGAAAATAAAGAAATACAGGTTCCTAAACAGGATATAGATCATGTATGTTTAAACAACATTAATACTTCAGATGAGTTACCAGCTCATCTAGTTGACTTGTATGAAAATTGCTCAAAGAATTTAAATGAGGAAGAAATATGTCACTTTAGGGCACTCCTCGTCAAATATCAGGATGTTTTTTCAAAAGATCCTAAAAATATTGGTACAACCAATTTGGTTGAGCATACCATTGATACAGGCGATGCAAGACCTATACGTATACCCCCTCGCCGCCTCCCATTCTCCAAACTTTAAAAGGCAGAGGAGGAAATTTTGGAAATGTCAAAACGAGATATCATAGAACCGGGTTATGGGCCTTGGAGTTTTCCAGTGGTGTTAATTACTCAGCCAAAGATTCGGTTCACGATAGTTACAGAAGCCTAAATCAGTTGTCTTACAAAGATTCCTACCCATTACCCCGTATAGATGATACCTTGGACGCTTTGTCTGGGCCGAGTTTGTTTTCGGTTCTCGATTTAAGGAGTGGTTATTGGAACGTTAATATAGCAGAAAAGGATAGGCCTAAGAAAGATTTTTTCTATACCAGGCAGTGGGTTGTGGCAATTTAAAAAATGAGTTTTGGGCTATGTAATGCCCAAGCCACTTTTGTGAGCTTAATGGAGAGAGTTCTCCGGGGATTTTCCTGGAAAATATGTATCGTGTATTTGGATGACATCATATTATTTTCAAAGTCCTTCGATGAACACCTAACAAATTTAAGCAAGGTTATCAATTGCCTTAAAGAAGCAGATTTGAAAATCAACCCCCAAAAATGTAACTTATTTAAAGACCAAGTGAAGTTCCTTGGACATGTGGTTAGTTCCAATGGGGTAGCCACTGATCAAGCCAAATTAGAGTCTGTTACTAATTGGCCAATACCCAAAAATGTAAAACAAGTGAGAAGTTTTCTCGGCTTTTGTTCCTATTATAGGAGGTTTGTTAAAATTTTTAATGACATTGCAAGACCCTTGCATAGGTTAACAGAGGCAGGCAGAAAGTTCGAGTGGACTGAGCCAAGCCAAGCATCCTTGGACACCTTGAAACAAGCCCTAACAAGCACCCCGATTTTGAGTTAACCCACGTCAGATGACCTGTTTATACTAGATACAGATGCTAGTAATGATGGAATGGGATCAGATTTATCCAAAACGGAGTTGAAAGAGTTATTTGCTACCTAGCAAAGCCTTTTCTTAGCAAGAACGCAGATATTGTGTTACCCAAAGGGAATTACTGGCTGTCGTATCTTCGATTAAAAATTTCCATCACTACCTATATGGTAGATATTTTTTAGTCAGAAGTGATCATGGCTCCCTACCTGGTTATTTAAATTCAAAATCTCTGAAGGTCAACTAGCCCGATGGTTAGAGACCCTAGCTACTTACAATTTCAAAATAGAGCATAGAGCTGGTCGAATCCAATCAAATGCTGATGCATTGTCCCGTCACCCCTGTTGTGAAACTGGCTGTAACTACTGTCTGCGTGCTGAAAGTAAATATGATAATACATGTGAATTTTCACTGGAAAAATGTGAAATACGCAAACAGGTAGATTCCCCTGAGAAATTGCCTGAAATCCCTGTTGTGAATTAACACAAAATTAAGAACAACCTGAGTGTCTGTACGGTTACTAGGTCCCAGATAAAGAAGGGTGATATTTCAGAAACACCTGGTAGTTCTGGAATTGCAACTAAGTTGGAGGGAGAAATACACTTTGACAAGGACAAACCTTTGTCAGATGAACAAAGACAGGACCCTTTTATTGGTCAATTGTTCAAATGGAAACTTGATGGTCTTAGACCTGAATGACAGGACGTTTTTGCCGGCACCATTGAGTTAAAACACTATTGGTCCAAATGGGACTCTATAGTAATAAAAAACAATATTTTATACCAGAAATGGGAAAATGATACTGGAAGTACAATAGTGTGGCAAAATTTACTTCCTACAATTCTAAGAAAAACAGCCCTCAAATATTTACATAATGCCCCTTCAAATGGCCATCTTGGTATCAAAAAGACCTTGGCCAAACTAAGAGATAGATATTTTTGGTATGGCCTACGTAGAGATGTGGAATATTGGATCAAAGACTGTGGTGCATGTTCCTGCCGTAAAAGGCCCATAAAGAGACCTCTGAGCCCCTCTGAAATTGTATTCAGTTGGTGTGCCAATGGAACGTCTAGCAATAGATGTCACAGGTCCATTTCCTCGATCAAATCATGGAAATAGATTTATAGTTGTTATAACCGATTATTTTACTAAATGGACACAGGCTTTTGCCATTAAAGACCAAGAGGCTCCCACTGTAGCCCAAACGCTAGTTGAAGGTGTGGAAGCCCTCTTTGGTGTTCCCCGTAGCTTACATAGTGATAAAGGTTCAAATTTTGAATCAACTGTTTTCAGGGAAATGTGTGAAATTTTGGGTATTGATCAAACCCGAACTACCACCAGACGACCCCAATCTGATGGTATGGTTGAAAAATCAATGAACACAATTAAAGAAATGCTCTCTAGTTATGTAGATGAGAGACAAAAGAATTGGGATCAATATTTATCAGTATTATTGTTGGCGTACCGTTCATCAGTTCACAAATCCACTGGTGTCAGACCTTGTAATATGATGCTCGGTCGGGAAATTACTCTTCCGGTAGATTTGGTTCTTGGAGTCCCTGAAGAAGAAATAAAAACTTATAGTTCTAATTTGCAGGAGCAAACCAACGCCACCACTTCACCATTGGCTAGGGTGGAACCACCTACCCCACTCAGGTATGTCACAGCCAGAACACTGGGTGGGAAACCAACATCAGTCACCCAAGACAGATCCAGACCAAATCCTACTCCCTGTAGGGTGGCAGCCACTGCGGTTAGTGAGCCCTCACCCACACCCGTAGAGGCACAGGAGCCAGCCAACAGTGTCTCTGGGGAGACAGCCTTAAACCCATCCTTAGCATCTGATGTTGAGGCTGGAGAGGTCTTGGACCAACTCAGTATTGGAGTTGGCCCCCAAGAGACACTGGACGTCCCAAGTATTCCTCTGCCTCCCATTCGGATTGAGGAACCTACACCACAGTCAGCGGCTGCTACCCATAGGCCAACACAGGTTAAGGCTGAGGGTGCTCCAGCCACTTAGCCTGTCCGCCGTGTGGTTTGGGATCACCTGGCAAGCCAGAGGGTGACAGACGTGAAGTTGGCCGCTTGGAGCGATGTTCAAGCGGGTATGGTTGAGCTTGACATTGGTGGCACGGCAATGAGGCCCTACCGGAAAGATGAGTATGGGAGCCCCATGTACTTTTTGGACCGGGACCCAGCTCATTTCAAGCACATTCTCAACTACTTGAGGTTGGGAAACCCGTGGTCCTCACAGTCTCTGCCCTCTGTGCTCAGATACTTATATGACCTGCGGCAGAGACTGACCATTTCCAGCTGCAGGGTCTTCATGACCACATCATAAATAACAACCTTAATCGAGTCCGAATTCGACGTCAATCTTTAGACCTACCATCCATTTCATCATGATTATGTACAACAGGTGTACACGGCTTATAATTTAAAATTGCGGTACAAGAGAGTACCAAGAAACTATAAGATGAATTTGTGATCTCAATGTATAAATCCCTTGACGAAGAAGACCCAGAAAGAGAAGCCGAGAGAAGATTTAGAAGAAACAAACTGTTTGGACTTATAATGTGTTCTTTTATTCATGTTTATTTAACTATAATTAGGAAAAATATGTAAAAATTTAATATATTGTAATGTTTTTAATAGCGGAATGGTAGATATTTATAACCAACAAAGGTGTATTTCATCAAATGTAAATAATTTTTAATGAAATTTTCAAATTGAATTGTAAATCTTTTGACAAGTCTAAGAATGATATAGATATATACCTTTCTTTAAAGATCAAGTAGTTATTTGATTTGAAGTAGTTTTGTGGACATGTAACTCCATTCCTGATGGTGCCTTCTGCATGATTAAATATCTGAATAAATAGACCAATAAATGATTAATCATAAATTGTAAAGAGAATGATATTGTATATTTTTTAATTTTTATTGCATATAGTGGTCAGTAGACCATTACAAATGTATATTGTTCATGCAACATTTACTACGCAGTCGTGCGACATCCTTGGCCCTTTACTGTAAATCCTGTATTTAAAGGTTAGGTAGTTTAAGGGTATGTATATTGTTAATAATAATTATTGCACATGAGTATGTGTGAAAGAGTATGTGTGTTCGAATGAGCATATGGGTATTTTGTGTATAATTGAATATCCTTTTCAAGTTTTTCATGTGGTACTATGGCATTCTTGGACTTTTATCACCATTCCAGTTGTAAAAAGTTTTCTTTTGAGTTAAATAAGGAAGCGTTTTCAATTTTTTGAAAACAGATGAGTCGCTACAGGTAAAATGTATATATCTGTATAAATTAGAATCTAATATATTCTGCTTGTAAATTATAGTAAGTTTACATGTGATGTGATAATATAATTGTAAATGTTCTTTAAATTATTACATGATTTGAAAATTAATGTATATAATATTTTAACTTAATATAGATGATAATATAATTTTTTTATCTTACCTTACAATCCAATTGGAGACCAATCCATACTTAGGAGGGGGCAGTGTTGTGCCGGAAAAAAAAATGGTTCCTTGTTATGTCCCTTTATGCTCCATGAATAGGTTAAAATGGTCTCAAATGTTATATTGTTAATATTTATTGTTGTTAAGATATTGTGTTATTCACATCCCTGCTAAATCCCATCTGGTTCCATTGTAATATCCGTTTGTTAACATCCAATGTTAAAGTACATTTCTGGAATGTCACCGGAAATAGATTCATGCAGATTTGTTTACATGTTTACGGTGACCCATAAATTAGTAGTTTACGCTTGTTGTGTAACAATTATCACTTGAAGTTGTAGAAATCATATGATTGTGTACTTTTATATTGTTTAGAATCTTATTTATATATGTATTAGTTCTCATATTGTAGTTTCAGTCTACTTTCACTTTTCACATGCAGTTCAGAATGTCCATTTTGTTAGGTCACGAATCAACTTCAATTGTGAATTTTACTTACATTATTCTCTGTCACTAGTATATCCTGCATTCCTAGCTTAATAATATATTTATTAATCCATCTAGATAGGTGAGGATCCTTTGTGAAGTATGAATTATTTGTTATATTGTGCATAAGTCCCCGGAGGATACGTAGAACCACCATCTTTGCGCAAATCTGCACGTTTGTCCGGAGATCGCAAATAGAATTATTTGATTGGTTAATATATATAAACAGTCAGCGTACTCGTCACGTCATTCTTTTCAGTTCACTTTTACTTGAGACACGTTTTTTTTTTAACAGTCGCTTAGATTTTTAACTTAATTGTTTCTTATCATGTCGCAGCAACAAATTCGTTCAGATGTAGCTATGGTACGTTATCGTGATAGTTTAATTTAAATATGCCTTTTTAGGTAATTTGATGTGTGTTTCCACTAGAGAAACCATTCTTTAACTTTATTTGCACCGAGAGTCAAGATAAATTGCACCGGGTGCATTATAATTCAGTAAATAGCTTCCGTAAATTATTGATCTTTTAGAGAAAAGTTGTGATTATAAATTACGTTTTATATTTAGATAATGTTACAAATCAGCTGATTCGTTAAATATATTTAATCCGTTTATAGCTGTAGTCAAATTTAGCGGTGCATCCAAGTTTTGATTTGGCGCACCACATCTACTTCGGTGTCTCTGCACCGTATAAGGCAAAATGTATATACATTGATGAGGCAATGTACCCTGATTGGAAATGACAATTTATTGCTAAATTATAAACCGTGGTGCAACAGCACCTCATTTATACCGTAACGTCACCTGAACCTTAGGTGCAATTGAACCTCAGGTGCAACTGCACCTCACCAGATATATTTCAACTTAACTATGAGATCGATAAATTTATACCTTTTTAAGATCTATGTATCCTCTTGGGGCTCCTTTTGTGTATCATATAATGTCATAAGTTTATAGTATAATTTATTACTATTGTCAAAACTGCATAGTTTCATGTTGTGCCTTAATACAGAAATAAACAGGGTGTGAACCTTTAATAGTTTTATGTCTCTGTAAAGCCAAAACAGTTATAGTTATAGTAACAGGTCGAACCTTTTTGGAAGTTTAATTTAACATATATACACATTGATATGTCGTCGTCTCATCAGTGGTCATTGCGCTGACTGGAGAAACACGTTGTGGTGGCGACGCAACACATGTTCAGGTTTGTCATTGTTCTCATTGTTGGATGTCATACGGTGACGTCATTTGGTCTCTGATTGAAAGTTGTTGGCTCATTGAGATTTTTTACGTGGTACATGGCCACTTAAGTTGTTGTAAGACGTAGACGTATAGTGACGTTAATATGTTGCAAACCAACTTTAATTCACATTGAAAATACATAATACATGTAGAGTGGGGCGCATATATTCGCTTGGGACACAATTTCGCCGTTTTATGATTTTGAGGTGTAGAAACTTCAAAGAATTGCTGAAATGGAAGAAATATGCCGTTAAATTATATTTTTATAACAAATATGATTATTTTTTAAACTTAGAAAAAATTTCGGCACTTACCGCAAAGGACCGAAAAACGGACAACGATTTTTGGCCAATTTCCTGAATGAAAAAAAAAAATTCAAAGAAGTATTTCTTAGTAATTCTTTGACTGATTGCCCTAAATTTCAGTTCTTTACACCTTTGAAATGTCTGCTATTCATCTATAATGAAATTGATTTGATAAATATTGTTTAAACCTGCAGTTATTTGGTTTTAAATAGATGTGTAAAAACGGCGAATATGTGTCCCCTATGACAAAACATCAGGAAATATCAAATAGCCTTTAATCTAACTTTTCAGATGAATTTTTTTTCAGAAAAACACGTTTTCAAGCTATGATTATTTTGCTTTTGATGTTATCTTCATATAGAAATATCAGTATACTTCAAAAACTTAAAGGTCTGAACATAAACTGCAGAAAACATGGAAAATTATGGCGAAAATGAGCACCCCACTCTAGTAATATATATTTATTTCGAATGTTAACTTGAAGTTTCCCACAGCTATGTTATGTGTGTGCTCCAGTGTTAACACTGGCATTAGTACGAGTAACATAGTATATATATAGTACCGGAAAATTTAGCGGGGTTGCATGCATGATTAAGTCGTGCAGAATAGTATAGACTAAAGTCTTTTTTTCTGACTGTCCGTCTATGAATGAATGGATGAGTAAATGATCGTAAATATATTGTTAACATAGCGTATAGTATAGTACAAAATGTAAAGCATACTAGCTTTACTCTTTTGAAAAAAAATTATATGGTTAAAAAATTATTCCATTGTTTCGAACAAGCCATCAAACTCCTGTTGAAAGCCGGATTTTAATTTACGTCTTCCGATTATGCATTTTTTTCTATAACGAAATCGGATCCTGCTTTGTGAAATTTAGGACGAAACCGGGTCTTGCACATTGACAAAACAGAGTCCTTCAATTTTGAAATGACCCATTTCTTTCGTTTCATGCACAGAAATACAAATATTGAGGTGCTCAAATTGACTTGTCTTGCAATCTCCGTGTTAATAGTTTTCTTTCCATACAATGTGCACAATTTAAAGAGAAATTAAACATATTCGAGGCAAGGTTCACTCAATTCATCATTTTGATGTGCCTTTTCACTTATTTATCCATTAGTTTAGAACCGTTGTAGAAAATATTACATCTCACAATCGAAAACAGTTATATGTGTATGTATATTCTTCAAGAACACAAAAATAACTAATAAATAAACAGAAATCCTACCTTTTCTCTGATTGATAATGGTCCGTCACCGTAACGGATATATGATACTATTGAGTCCAAACATTTTTGGTCGGGGTAGTTTAGACACAGTGGAGAATAGGGTCAAGAAACAAAAACAAGATATTTGATATATGAAGTTAGTTGAGTAATTCATAGTGTTTTGCTGATCAGGATTTACTAAATATACAGAGCTCCTAGCTTTTCTATTATGGTCCTTTGAAATTTTTTTTTAGTAACAGAGTATGTAAAAATTATGAATGCAGAGGCTAAGCTATCAGACAACTCAAATCAGATCCTTACAACACCAGATGATCCAAATGTTCCCTACAATCAACCAGTCAAATGGTCGAACAACAACAAATGGAAATTTTTAGAGCTAGATTTTAGTCTGAAATACCATACCTTCGAAAGGCCACCTGAACCAGACCCTACTGGACAAAAACATTTTGTAACATATTTTCAGTATGACATTGTACAGGCTCTCCTCCAGATTGAACACAGACGTAAGGGTAAGTTTTATGTATCGTGTATCACAAAGCGTGTGTTAGGACTAACAATTTTACCATACACTAGTTTTTGTGACTTAAACCGTTAAAAGACTATAAAAACAACACTTAATAAATTACATGCGTCCCAAGCCCTTTTAAAATACTATAAGTAGCATGTAGACCATGACTGACTTGCTAGACGAGCCTGGCTAAAACCATCGTTGAACACACGTCATGTTTTGTTGGAGACTAAGCAGTTCCAGCTTTACTAGTGGCAATTGTGTTGTTGTTGGTGACTAATAACGTACGTCATGGTTCTCAAATCCTAGTTTTAAGTCGTCCATTAGTGTCAATCAATATCAAGCAATTATGTTTCATTTAGTACATCCACCAAACTCGGCAAATAGCTGTTGTCGATTTAAATGGCTAGCATTTTGATTTCAACATCCCCCATGTATTTGTTGTTCAAATCAGTGTGGTTCTACACAAAATGAAATGAATAGTTCAAAATGAAAAAAAAATCATCAATCTGATCAAAAGCTGATCTACTTTATCTGTTGTATTGTGTATTTAGATGTGAAATATATGATCAACATATTTCTCAAAGGATGACTTTGTTATTGAAATGACATCGTTTATATAGAGTCGATATAGTCTCATGATATTAAATTTAGGGTAATGGTATCTTTTATTCCTTCTTCCAAATAAGTCTTGTATGACTCTACCTCATACGAACTAACGTAGAAATACTTATAGGCGAAAAGTAGGATTTAATAATGTCCCCAATGAAATAATGTCCACCGGACAATATTTACTTATCTAAATGTGTCCCGGACACAATTTCCTATGGAAATATGTCCTCAGGTATGAAAAAGTGTCCATGAACATGGACATTATTTAATACTATAATTCTGTCCAGGTGGACATTTTTTCACAGGACATTATGTCCGCCAGGACATTTTTTGATATCATTAAAGTATTAAATGATATCCATTGCCTTGTTATTACTGGACGTATCTTAACCTATAATTGCGAACCTTAATTCATTGTTACTTTGACAGAGAGTTGTCTCATTGGCACTCATACCATCCTTATCTTCTTATTTATATTTTTTAATATATATACATGTATAATGATTTAAATTCAGACAAGTAACAGATGTTATTCAGTATTATTGTCCTTGGAGGACACAATTCAATCACAATTACTATGACAAACTGTCCTGTAGGTGGACCATATTTTATAACTGTTGCTGTAAAATGCTGTCCACTTAGGGGACAATATTTCATGGCAATGGACAAAAAATACCAAAATTCTTTTTTTCTTTTGTCTTCTTCTCATAATAAATATAGTAAAATTCTTCACATTTGATTTTATACTTTACACACTTCCTTCTTATTGTTCTTCTTTCATTGTCATATATAGCATTAGCTGGTTATTTCTTAGAACTTAAATTTCTCTTTATTCACTTCCATCCATGATTTGTTTGTTTACATTTGTATATTAATCAATTTCTAATCAATCGTTCAGATTTTATAAAAATTCAAGTATAATAAAACTTTTTAATGACCTTTGTATTACTTCCCTTGGAGGACACATTTTAATAGCAACTACTATGAAAACGTGTCCTGTGGGTGGACACTATTTCATAACTTTTGCAGTAAAAATCTGTCCACTTGAGGGACAATATTTCATGGCAATGGACATTATTTAATACCAAAATTCTATGAAAAACTGTCCAGGTGGACACTTTTTCACAGGACACTATTATGTCTTACACAGTGCTAGTTCGAAAAGCATATCCGTTGTCTTTTGGAGAAAAACACTGTCAAATGTAACAAATTAGCTATTTTCGTAAATGTCGGCGGAATCAGTTTATAATATGTATGTGAAGTTAGCAGCCGGTTCGTTATTCGATATTCATATCCAACCGGCTGCTAGCAGTCGGTTCGATATTCAAAATATAGTTGAAAATCATAAAAAAATTAGATACTTGATTACATTAAAAGCATGATTTTCATAGTAAAGAGGACTGATAAGATACGCAAGAAATCGTTTAATGACCTCTTCAAGCTGTCGTAAATTCTCGAATATAAACCCTTTTCTAAGTTGCATATTTGTCTTTATGTAATATAGATTTTTATCAATAAAACAACATCAAAGATGTACTTTTATATATTATATTTCTTAAAACAAAAAGAAAAACCGATAACTCTAGAAATATTTAGAAATATAAATAGAAATGTTTATGGAAAGCCCCAACAAGAAATATACAGTGAAAACCTACCTGAGACCGCTTAAATGAGGGTGAGACCCCCCTGGTCTTTAAATGTCCATACAATTCAAGTAAATCATAGACTGGGTATATATAAAGGTTGTATTCGAAGGATTTCCCAGAATAATGTCATCTTCGATATCTACGGAGGGCTTAGATTGTCACTTTTCAGCTAAAAATTGTCAAAATTTCAGGACAAAGGGCACAGGGCAATGGTGAGAGCCCCCTGATCTCTCAATCTTTCTAATATTATGGAGACATTTAGTTAATAGGTAGATACAAACGTGACTAAAAGGAATTTGGGTACACTTTCTGTCTTCCATGTTTACGGAGCGCCCAAAGTGCCAGTTGGATATTCAAAATATATAGTGAAAACCTACCTGAGACCGCTTAAATGAGGGTGAGACCCCCTGGTCTTTCAATGTCCATACAATTCAACTAAATCATAGACTGGGTATATATAAAGGTTGTATTCGAAGGATTTTCCAGAATAATGTCATCTTCGATATCTACGGAGGGCTTAGATTGTCACTTTTCAGCTAAAAATTGTCAAAATTTCAGGACAAAGGGCACAGGGCAATGGTGAGAGCCCCCTGATCTCTCAATCTTTCTAATATTATGGAGACATTTAGTTAATAGGTAGATACAAACATGACTAAAAGGAATTTGGGTACACTTTCTGTCTTCCATGTTTACGGAGCGCCCAAAGTGCCAGTTGGATATTCAAAATATATAGTGAAAACCTACCTGAGACCGCTTAAATGAGGATGAGACCCCCCTGGTCTTTCAATGTCCATACAATTCAACTAAATCATAGACTGGGTATATATAAAGGTTGAATTCGAAGGATTTCCCAGAATAATGTCATCTTCGATATATACGGAGGGCTTAGAATGTCACTTTTCAGCTAAAAATTGTCAAAATTTCAGGACAAAGGGCACAGGGCAATGGTGAGAGCCCCTGATCTCTCAATCTTTCTAATATTATGGAAACATTTAGTTAATAGGTAGATACAAACGTGACTAAAAGGAATTTGGGTACACTTTCTGTCTTCTATGTTTACGGAGCGCCCAAAGTGCCAGTTGGATATTTAAAATATATAGTGAAAACCTACCTGGGACCGCTTAAATGAGGATGAGACCCCCCTGGTCTTTCAATGTCCATACACTTCCACTAAATCATAGACTGGGTGTATATAAAGGTTGTATTCGAAGGATTTCTCAGAATAGTGTCATCTTCGATATCTACAGAGGGCTTAGATTGTCACTTTTCAGCTAGGTTTTCGCTATATATTTTGAATATCCAACTGGCATTTAGGGCCCTTTGTAAACATGGAAGACAGAAAGTGTACCCAAATTCCTTTTAGTCACGTTTGTATCTATCTAACTGTTTGCTTAATATTAGGCAGATTAAGAGATAGGGGGCTCTCACCATTGCCCTGAGTCTATGAATTAGTCGAATTTAATGGACATTGAAAGAACAGGGGGGTCTCACTGTCATTTAAGTGGTCTCAGGTAGGTTTATGCTATATATTTTGAATATCCAACTGGCACTTTGGGCCCTCCGTAAACATAGAAGACAGAAAGTGTACCCAAATTCCTTTTAATCACGTTTGTATCTACCTATTAACTAACTGTTTGCTTAATATTAGGCAGATTGAGAGATCAGGGGGCTCTCACCATTGCCCTGTGCCCTTTGTCCTGAAATTTTGACAATTTTTAGCTGAAAAGTGACAATCTAAGCCCTCCGTAGATATCGAAGATGACATTATTCTTAGAAATCCTTTCGATACAATCTTTATTTAAAAAGAGTCTATGAATTCGTCGAATTTTATGGACATTGAAAGAACAGGGGGGTCTCACCGTCATTTAAGCGGTCTCAGATATGTTTTCGCTATATATTTTGAATATCCAACTGGCACTTTGGGCCCTCCGTAAACATAGAAGACAGGAAGTGTACCCAAATTCCTTTTAGTCAAGTTTGTATCTAACTTGTAACTAACTGTCTGCTCAATATTAGGCAGATTGAGAGATCAGGGAGCTTTCACCATTGCCCTGCGTCCTTTGTCCTGAAATTTTGACAATTTTTAGCTGAAAAGTGACAATCTAAGCCTTCCGTAGATATCGAAGATGACATTATTCTTAGAAATCCTTTTGATGCGATCTTTATATATATACAGAGTCTATGAATTCGTCTAATTTTATGGACATTGAAAGAACAGGGGGTCTCACCGTCATTTAAGCGGTCTCAGGTATGTTTTCGCTATATATTTTGAATATCCAACTGGCACTTTGGGCCCTCCGTAAACATAGAAGACAGGAAGTGTACCCAAATTCCTTTTAGTCAAGTTTGCATCTAACTTGTAACTAACTGTCTGCTCAATATTAGGCAGATTGAGAGATCAGGGAGCTTTCACCATTGCCCTGCGTCTTTTGTCCTGAAATTTTGACAATTTTTAGCTGAAAAGTGACAATCTAAGCCTTCCGTAGATATCGAAGATGACATTATTCTTAGAAATCCTTTTGATGCGATCTTTATATATATACAGAGTCTATGAATTCGTCTAATTTTATGGACATTGAAAGAACAGGGGGGTCTCACCGTCATTTAAGCGGTCTCAGGTAGGTTTTCGCCATATATTTTGAATATCCAACTGGAACTTTGATGCCCTCCGTAAACATAGAAGACAGGAAGTGTACCCAAATTCCTTTAAGTCACGTTTGTATCTACCTATTAACTAACTGTT